AAAAGAAAAAAGATTTAGGGGGCTGGAGAAATGGCTCAGCAGTTAAGAGCACTGACTGCTCTTGCAGAGGACCCAGGTTCGATTCCCAGCACCCACATGGCAGCTATAAACCTTAACTCCAGTTCCAAGGGAATTTGAAGCCTCTTCTAACCTCTGCGGCATTGCACGACACAGGTGCAATCACATACAGGCAGGCAATACATTCATACACAAAAATTAAAAATAATAAAATATTTAAAAAAAGAGAAATGATTTATCTGGCACACATTGGGCACTCAGAAAATATTCATCTGAGTAATAAACCATATTTTACAAAACTGTTAGGGAAATTTTTGAACCATGGGAATTCAATAAATCTGGTATAAGGAAAGAAAGTCTCTTACTGGTTCTAACCAGGAACACCATACAAAATCCAACAAAGCTATAAGCCAATGTTTTTATAAAGTTTGTGGCAAGGTATCAGGGAATCTTCTGAGACCCAGTGCAAGCCATAGACCAAGAAAAGTGAACATGTATAAAATTTTTTACAGTCTTTGGGAGTATTTTAGACCTCTCAATGCTACTCCAGAGCAAAGCTTCTCAAATTTAAAATGTACCTTAAAATCACCTAAAAGACATGCTAACTGAAAATTTCCCCAATCTTGAAAATGACTAATTTCCAAACTCAAGAAACCAAGTGAACCTCAAACAAAATAAATGCAAAGAAATCGACACCAAGACATCACAGTGAAGCTGCTGGAAACTAAATTGTAAAAGAAAGAAGAAAAATCTTGAGACCAGCTCCCTGTGGGGCTGAGTTCAAAAGACAACAGGAGGTGGCTCAGTAGATCAGAGCACTTGCCACACAAGCATGAAGACCTGGGTTCAGATCCCCAGCACCCACATAAAAAGTCAAGCATGGCAGAGTGCACATGTAACCCCAGTGTGTGGGGGTGGAGACAGGAGGATGGCTGGGGCTTGCAAGCTGCCAGCCTAGTTCCAGGTTTGGCTAGACCTTGACTTAAAAAATAAGAGAGTCAGTGATAAAGCAGGACACCTTACGTCTTCTTTTGGTCTCTGCACACACAGGTGTGCACCACACACGTACAACATGAAGGAAGGAAGGAAGGAAGGAAGGAAGGAAGGAAGGAAGGAAGGAAGGAAGGAAGGGTACACTGCATGGAATTCTCTAAGAATCAGTAAAATTATTAAAACAAAGATATCCTTAGGTGGGCATAGTGGTGCATGCCTTTAATGCCAGAAGTGGGTAGATCACTCTGAGTTTGGGCCAGTCTTGTCTACATAATGAGTTCCAGGTCAGGATGGTCTGTCTAGCAAGATACTATCATATCACAAAAATAAAGAAAGAAAGAAAGGAGGAAGGAAGGAAAGAAAGAAAGAAAGAAAGAAAATAAAGAGAAGGAAAGGGGAAAGGGAGAAAAACAGGGAGGGATAGAGGGAGGGAGGAAGGAAGGGAGGGAGGGAGGGAGGGAGAAAAATCATGGAGACTAGGGGGACTGGGGAGATGTTCAGTCAATAAAGTACTGGCCTTACTAGCATGAGAACTTGAGTTCAGAGTCTCAGCACACCATGAGAAACACACAGGCATGGCAGCACACACCTGTCATCTCAACACTGGGGAAGTGGAGGCAGGAGGGTCCCTGGGGTTTGCTGGCCAGCCAGTCTAGCCAACCAGTGAGTTCCAGGTTCAATGAGAGGTGAACTGGAGAGATGTCTTAGCAGTTAAGAGCACTGACTACTCTTGCAGAGGACCTGGGTTCAGTTCCCAGCACCCACATGGCAGCTAACAATCATCCTAAACTCCAGTTCCAGGGAATCTGACATCCTCTTCTGGCCTCCATGGGTATTATATGACTCTGGTGCACTTACATACATACAGACAAAACATTCATTAAAATAAACAAATGAACAAATAAATCAGGTGGAAAGTGATAGAGGGAGATACCTAATGTCCACCTCTGATCTCTTCAGCCACATGTACACAC